ATAGAAATCTGTTTTAGGCTGATTACGAACAATGAATCACTGTTTAGTGAGATCTGCAATATATTGTTTCCAGCTGTTTCCTACATGCTATCACCTTTTGATTCACCCCTTTTCACCACTCATGTGTGCCCCCCCCCCTCATGTGTGCCCCCCCCCCTGCAGATTGTGCTGTTGGCAGGCTCGTTTGAGGCCGAGTTCACTAACATTTCCCCTGCTGCTCACATGACCTGTAAGCCTAACTGCTGTCTGCAAACAGGAAATCAATGGCAGCTGATGTTGGCACACTTTGAATGCTCAATGCAATAAAGCTGAACATTTGCTCTGAAAGGTTTCTGTTTGTAATGATACACACCGTGTTCGGACCACTCGTCCCACATGTGCTGGGTGTCCTCACTGTGGAATTCATGGTGTTCATGATGATCAGGGTCTGTGGAAATCCCAAAACACACAGAAATAATAATGAAAAATAAAAATGACCCCTAGGTGAGGTCAGACGTCTAAAAAGCTACAACGAGACAGCATGGACAGGATTAAGAGGAAACAGACACAAACAGGAAATGAGAGAATAAGAGGAGGAGGGCAGCTGTTCTGACCTTGGAGACTGAGCATATCAAATCACCCAAATATTTGATTAAACTATGCACTATAGTATACTATATCAATTATAGTCTGACTATAGTATACATCCTGTGTCTTAAGGTTCAAATTCAATGTAAAGGTTTTATTTGCATATTCACAATAAGTGTGATTAAAGAAATAACAGTAACAAATAAATAGAAAAGATAAAGGGTATATGGATAACAATTATGACTTTGTAGATGCACCTTTTAAATAATATACAAATGTAACACTTAAAATGCATTAATTGTAATAGCATAGTCCAAAAAAAGAATAAAAAATAAGTGTAGAAAAATCCACCAAAATAATATATATAAAAAAACGAAATATGTTCTATTAACTTATTAAAACGTAACCAATGCGTCTTTTAGATTTTCTTTTGCTGGGCAGGCCTCATATATTCATTTAAAATGTACGTTTTTTTAAATCTTGTTTTTAAGTATAGGATACTGATGGTACATCTTGAGTCATCCTCTGAATATTAAATAGTATTATATGTTGAATATCACAGTTTCTTTGTGGACTTGCAACATAAATAAACGTTCCATATAATAAGGTGTCCTTTAGACAACTACAACTTGCTTTTACTCATGCATACTTCATAGACTCTACTTAGTACCATTTGAGTGATGCCAGAGCATCCGCTTGAGCTCCCTGAGGGCCTGGGTGAGGTTTTCCAGCTGGTCGTGCAGGTGGATGTTCTCCTGGATCAGTGCATGGATGGTATCCTGGAGCTCGAAGCATCGACTTTGCAGGAGCAGCAGAGCCAAGGGCATGAAGAAAAGCACCGACCTGATTCCCCTCATAGCGACTGAGCCTCCTCACATCTTCTTCACCGAGGCCAAGCCATCCCTCTCATCGTCCCACTGCGTGACACAGATGTGCCTCCCTGTGGAAGTGATGGCTGCAGAATACCAGCTTAAACTCACGGGGAGGGGACACTTGTTTATATCTTTCCAAAGCCAGGAGTGGAAAGCTGCCAGTGGGCTGCTTAAAAATCTATCCAATGTTTCCACATCAGCAGCACTCACTGTGGCCAAAGCAAGAGCTCCGGTTTGTGTCACTATAATCCACTTCAAGTGAAAATGATATGTTTAAACTCAAGCTGTGATCAGTTCTAATAATAATAATAATAAATGATATTTATATAGCGCCTTTCAAGGGACCCAACGTTCTGCAGTAAAGTGTCAAATCCAGTCCAGAAATAATGTGTGAAAAGATGTGGCAGCTGGGTGCAGATGTTTCATGCATACAGATATCCTATAGATTAGATGGAGCTCATATCTGTCATGTGGAGTACAGCCTGCTAATGAACACTGGGACACCAGAGCAGTGAGGTCAAGGGGTCGTTCAATTCAAACATTACTACAATTAAAGGGAAACTAAACCTCAACAGGCTCTGATGTTTGGTCGAGATCGTTGAACAGAGGGTGCAACAAACTGAAGTGACCTGACCTAATTACTACCAGTTTTCAGGATGTTTAGTGCTCAGAAGATAGCATATGCCTCAAAAGCAAGTCAATTTAAGTGTAAATTACATTTATCAGACTACAGCACCAAGTTTCCTTTTTAAAATATACAGTAGTATTGCTTAAAAGGCATTTGCTATCTGCTCATGTGCTGTATACCTAGTAAAATTATACTGACGCGAGAGCGTTCTTTTTATAATCCCGACTTCATTCTTCTTAGATTAGTCACCTTTTCTAGCACAGGAATTAACATAAATGTATACCTAGAAAAATGTAACGTTAATGTAAAGTTTCTATCCAACTTCATCTTCCATTGTGAATATTCCCCCCAGAAAAGATGGATTTCTACACTCAAAATAGTACTGCATGACCACTATGCATTATTACTTGGGAATAACTTAATAACATACCAAATGACATGTCATATCTGCATATTAGAATCCACAAACATTTAAGACACGGGACAATTAAGTGATTTTTTTCCAAACAACGTTTATTGATTTATCATGTGTATCAGTTTATGCTGTCTTTGCAGCCCTGGTACGCTTCTTCTTGACCACAACAGGCTTCTGGCTTTTCAGGATGGCACTGGCACGACGCAGAGCAGCCTGGGAAAACAAAGGAGACTCAAGTTATATTCCTGAAAGCTCTAAAGTACAAATAAACAGGACGATTGTAGAAAATGATGATGTAATTAATTTGAGGTTTTAAAGTCAGGCATTGAGCTCACCATGCGCAGGTCCTTCCTGTACTTGCTCTTGCTGATGATGTGCCTCACGCTGTTGAGCGTGGCGCGAGCATTCTTGTTGATGGTGATCTTCTCGTAGGAGCTGGCAGGTTTGTGCTGACCTGTGCAACAACAATTTAAAGACATTAGCTGTAGCGATCCAAAAATATCAAACAATAAAATGCAAAAAACACTACATCTTCTTCAAAAGGTGCAGAACTCATGCTCCTTAAAGTTGACTGCTTGTTAGCTGATTGCAGAAATCCACTGAGTGCAGAGATCAATACATTAGACAGCCATCTTAAGAATTTGGGCTAATGTCTTAAAACTGTCAAATAGTTTTCTTTACTTTCTGCAAATCAGAGCATGAGCAACTCTATTTAAAATCCATTTTAAGTAAGCACACATCTTCAAAATGCTCCCGGTGTGAAATATCCTTTAAACTACAGAAAGAGGTAACCGTAAAGAAAACATTTGTACAGTGCACATCTTGACTGTCACCATTCCAATGATTTAAATACATAGTGAAGCTGATGAAAATGCACTCCACATAAATCTTTTTTTCTACAGACAGAGAAGTGTTTAAAGATGACACCGTGTCAGATATTTACCTTTACGCTTCTTCAGCACGACAACGACTCCCTTGCCATCGGCAGCTGGCTGCACACCAATGGTCTTCTTGTGCACCAAACCATTGAAACGGAAAGAGTTCTTGGACTTCAGGTTGTTCGGCTCCTGTCACATAAAAGGAGTTTATTCAGATAAACCTGCTGGACAGCTTTGGTTTGCAACATCAGACTAAAAACGGCATATTTATTTCACTGTTAAGACCAGTCGCTTAAATAAGGAAATGTCCTGCTTTTTATTGTTTGGGTTTTGGGACAACATGAGATATATATATTAATTCACTGAGATGGAAGTTGCCGTTTGTCATATTTGCAGTATTTTTTGTATACATGGTGATGTAATGTTAATGCTATCGAGTTATAATATATTAAAAAAAGAGTTATACTATATAACATTCTGATTTAGTTGAAACGTTACATCACAGTAATCCCGTTTTTTTGTTTGTGTTTTAAAGATTTGGCTTATTGTTTTTACAAATCCTTATTTATCTTACATTTTACAGGTGAAGACATCCTAAATGACATGTGTGCATTGCACCCTGTGGCCGTGCTTTATTGTCCACCCCTACTTTACTTTTTTGGAACAATTGATACAGTAATCCACTTCCAACTACTCCACTGTGATCAAACCCACACAACAGACCCTTGTAAGAAGTCGTATGATGTTAAGTTGGGAAAGGTTTAAGCAGAATACACCATATACAACTATCATTTACTCACAGTGCTGTAGGTCTGTCCGTTCCTCTTGATGAGGAAGCTGGAGCAGTTCCTGATGACCATCCACTGCAAATGGGACGACATGATGAACCTGGAAACAAATAATACAAATTGAAATGTTACTTAATTACTTAACAAAAAACAAACACCAGTAAAACGGACAGCAGCCACTGCTAGCACCGGCTACCAACACTGGCTCAACGTGTTCTCCTGATTTCATGTATCTTTAAAAATTATACTACATCAAGTGGGTACATTTGTGCCGTTTTTGATTTTTGTAACACGTTTTACAGAGTGTTTTAAACATTTAACACCCTAAATGTAGAAAACACATGTAGTTCGCATTGTAGCACATTTAGCTAAAGTTAGCTCCACACAACGAGGCCTAACCTGCGACGTGTTCTATATATAATATATGTATAAGATACACTATATAGGGAAATGTTCTGCCCCATATGATTAACAACAACATACAAAACATAATAATCTTACTTTATAAGACTAAATACAAGAAGGGAGACGCAATAAATGCACTTTAATGATCATGCTTTTAGCAGCCGTTGCGACCACGTTACCTTTTAGCGGAGGAAGAGGATCCGAGAGACCGGAAGACGGTTTACGATACCTTAGTCAAAGATCACTGCGCTCACACGAATACTGTTAAACAGAGAAAAATACGACCAACAACACATTTTGACACATTTAAAATAAAATAAATATTTGGAGTTATTGTTACAGTCGTGTTTTTATGTTTATTATGACGCTATATCATGTTAAAAATGTTATTTAATGGAGTACTAGTTATGTGCACACCCAGCGGATGGACACGTCCTCATCCCGCGTAGGAACGTCATTAATACGCGCCTTGTGTTTACAGACATTCGTAAGAAATTTTATTTACAAATCTCAGCTGTTTTGACCCTAAATACGGAGTTTTTATTTGTTAAAACAATACGAAAGCTTATGGGGGACGAGCACATAGTAAAAAAGAAAGAAGTGCATTTTTGAACGCATGTTTTGTGTATGTGGTGCGAAAATGTTTACCAAAATACTACCAGAGGTCAACATTTTGTGTATAACTGCTAATTGCAAAGTAAAAGTTGTGTTTTAACATGACACCTGCACAAAGAGTCTTAATGTGAGAATAACATGGATGAAGCAGAAGATTTAGAGACACTAGGGGAAAAGCTGTACTCTCTGATTTACCCCAAACACAAGGAGAAAGCTGGGAAACTCACAGGTGAGCTGATAGCCTTCTGCTTTGTGATTCTGTCTGTGATGGTAACAAACAAATAATAATGCAACAGGGTCCTCCTCGCTGTAGGGTGCCTTTTGGTGTCCTGTACATCATCAAGTTGCTATGTTAACTTAACACAAATTAAACCTAACATATTAGTCTTATGTTTTCTATATTTATTGAAATGCCTTACTTTGCCCTTTTGACAATTTATTTAGATATTTTTCAGCTTTGTATATGGGAAGTATGCTATTTTGCTATGTTCCAAGCACAACCCATAACATTGAGTGAGTCAAATTTAAGTAAAATCTTTAAAAAATATTTTTGCTAAACTCAATTTAAAGGTGGGGTAGGTAAGTTTGAGAAACCGGCTCGAGATACACTTTTTGTTATATTCCATGGAATGCTCTTAACATCCCGATAGCAATGAATATCTTAAGTGCTTTGGCAAAAAATCCATAAAAAAATGTCATCTGTGGAAGCCGTAGTATTGTAAAAAGCACGACCAATCATTTTAGCCGGGCCGGCTAAAATGACTGGATGGCCGACCTGCCTGTCAGCCTTCCATCTGTGCACAAACTTATCTCGTGCCCTCATTGGTCATGTGCGCGTTCGTGTGTGTTGGAGGAGGGGCTCTGTAAGGAAGTGGCAGATTTGTTCCGGTTGTGTATTTTCAAATTCTAGCGCACTCGAGCTGGTTTCTCCAAAATTACCTACCCCACCTTTAAGTGCATTGATCAATATATATAAATATTATAATATATACATATTTTATTTAAGAAAAAATATAACTTTGTGTGTGTCCCTTAAATAATTGTCCACCATGTCGTATTCGGGAATCCGCCTCATTAAAGAAAGGTAATAGACTCTGGTGACATTTCAAAAGCAGGTTCTTTCTCTCTTTATTGGTGGATACTCAAACTCTAAAGTAAGTGATTAGCTGATTTTCCTAATCAATACTTTTCTTTGGATAAGTTAGCTTACTTGCTTTTCCTAAGCTTAACATGCTTACCCTGTTGACACACACACACACACACACACACACACACACACACACACACACACACACACACACACACACACACACACACTCTCTAAGTTGTCTTCAAACACTAGACTAGTATGTTTGCTAGTCACAATTTGTTGGAGCCCAAAATGCTACCATAGATGCTAACTGAAGGTCAAAATGTCCCCCCTGTCGGCTCTATGTGGTCCACAGGGTTTCATACACTGTCACTTTGCCACCCTCAGGCTCTGAACAGGCTCACGTTGGGCGGTCTGTTTGAAAGGATGGTCCAGAGTTCTTACAGTAATGTACATAATTGATGCTAGCCCCCCACATTTTAAACCAGTATGATCCTTTAATCAACTGTTCTTTTGTTCGTCAACCAAAGTCTTTGTCCTCCCTGTCGTGACAATGTCCACCCTGTCGTTGTCCCCCCAGTGTTTTTCAACTTTTATGGAAAAGTTAGAAAAACCTTTTTGTTTGATTTCTATTTAAACAAATGAGGACTTTATAGTATTGTTGACATTTTGACCAGATATATTTGTTGGTAAGTTCAACTTTCGCATATTTGAAGGGAAACCAATGTTTTGCAGCAATTCATTATTATCAAAACACTTTTCCCATTTAACATGCATTGTTAAGAAACGGATAACATATCTTTCTGAAAATGTAAATGTTTTATTCACTGTGCAATGAAAATGTATATAATCTACTTTAAATCTGTCCATGTCAGGGTGGACATACATTGTCTGCTTGCGATTAATTAATAAAAAGTGCAGGAGCTTGGGAAACATGCATTTCTAAGCCTGTGATCTACATAATACAATTATTATGAAGTTAAAGAATAATGCTGTTTTATGCATTTACTTGGCCATATCTTAGCTACTGTGTGGCGACATGTATAGCACATTTCTAGATATCCCTACCTCTCTAAGAATCCTCACAGCTCTCCACTTTAAAACATAATACACTGCAGTTTGTCATGTACTGTCATATATTCATCGTACTAAGTCTTTCAGTTTACTTTTGTATATTTATATTACGTGTAAATACTTCTCATATTATAAATACATACAATGCAGTACCAATGATTCATAATTGGATTAGAAGAGAACACACCAACAGACAATTTAAGTAATAGACTATTTAAATCTAACCTTAGTCAAGTGACAACATTATCACCAACTGTTTTGATAGTCATTAAAGTATTAATGTCAGAAAAAAGTTTTTTTCCGCTCCTCAGATATAGACCCAATCCCAAACCACGACCTACACCCTACCCCTACACACTCCCCCTCCGTGACGGAGTGAACTCCGTGGAGTGACACTCGCAACTCAACGAGGCTCCCTCCTGTCAGATGGAGGGAGTAAATACAGCAGCAAGCTTTGGGACAAACTCCCCTCTCTCCGGCAGAAACAGGAAATGCCGTAACTGTATGTAACAACGCTTTCAACTCAGCATCTCTTGGACACAAAATTAAATTAATAACTAAAATAAAACTCCAAACATCTTTAATTGTGTTACTTTTTTGTAAGCTCTTTTAGTTTTAAACCTGATTTTTATAAGCTTCTTAGTTTTTGCAACAGTCTGTAAATAAACACAACTTTATAATAAAATGCACACATTTACCTTTTTCTAGACTAAACACAGGTATACGATCCTAAGTTAAAAAAATATGAGGTTATCATGAGGTTGTTAACATCGCAATTTATCAGTGGATGTTTGCTGGAACTACTTGTAAACAGCTTGTTTCCTGACGGACACACACAGCGTTGAGACCGGTCAGGTAGAGACCGGTCAGGTAGAGACCGGTCTCCAGTCAGCACCGATGCAGACCAATGCAGACCCGGGTTGCGGTCGAATAGTCCAAAAATCAGCTCCTAACGTCTATCCCTATCGTCTATCCCTTGACCTCTGTGTGAAACGTCACAGGGTTAAGGGATAGTGGATAGGAGAATTCAAAAGGAGAAGAGACTGCGGTACTTTAGAGAATCCGGGGTTGCAGTCGAATAGTCAATTTAGCTTAGGAACCTTCCTAACGGAGTGAAATGACCCGGAAGTCCCTCAGTGGCAGCCATGATAAGTGCCGTTCGAATTCTCTTGATGAAAGGAAAGGAGGTTTCAAACTTCCTTTATAACCTCCTTTAGCTTAGGAACCACTGGACCTCCCTTGACGAAAGGAGAGGAGAAAATGCTGCCCCACAATGCCTTGCAGCCGCAGCATTTGCCGTCACACAACAGTCGGCCGTTCACGGAAACAACCGATTATGACCGAGAAATTATATCATGAAAGTTACGGTGCTTATTAAGCTTTTTAAAACGTATGTGGTAAGTTGCCAAAGTGCTTTGTTTTGAACGTTCATCAGTATTATAATCAAAAAGAGAAATATGAACGTTAGTTTTTACTGAAATGATCAAAAGTCAACATTTCACAGTCTTTACTGAGCTGTGTGGGGTTTGTTCAACTTTTAAAACATGTTTGAATGGTGATATACACAGTGATAGATGTTAAGGACTAACGTTTATAATAAATACATTTGTATTGATTTTAAGATATTTTCATACAATCATACGTATTGGGATCATTTGTATTAATGAGGACCGGAGGGAGAGGGAGACGAGCATAAGTTTCACTTTCCTTTTTTATTTCAATGAAGAATATGTTTCTCTGTTGTCCCCGTTCATAAAGCATAAAACAACAGCATCAGAGCACGGTGCAGAGTCTCTAGATGAGTTTACAGTAGTCCCTCGTTCTTATTATACATCCATGTTGTAGTCTGCTGTATAGAAAACTGTAGTTTCCATAGTTTGCCCACATTTATGACGTCCGCTGGCGCATCATAAACACGTCGGATAGTGAAAGTGCAGTCGGATTCTCTAAAGTACCGCAGTCTCTTCTCCTAAGTCCTTTTGAATTCTCCTATCGACTATCCCTTAACCCCATGACGTTTCACACAGAGGTCAAGGAATAGACGATAGGGATAGACGTTAGGAGCTGATTTTTTGACTATTCGACCGCAACCCGACTACTTTTTTTTTTTTATATATCAGATTCCTCCGCGTACCACTAGCGGGAGCTGGCGTACCACCAGTGGTACGCGTACCACAGGTTGAGAACCACTGATCTAGAGAATTCGAACGGCACTTATCATGGCTGCCACTGAGGTACTTCCGGGTCATTTCACTCCGTTAGGAAGGTTCCTAAGCTAAATGGACTATTCGACCGCAACCTCGCTGTTTGATGGCTTGATAACCCACTCCCCCTCCACACCGCTCCACACTCGTTGGTTTGGAACAGCACTTAATGTGGCGGACCCTACGCGCAAACGGAGGGGTAGTGTGTAGGGGTAGGGTGTAGGGCGTGGTTTGGGATTGGGCCATAGAGATGGTTTATTAAGGTGAAAATCTGACGCAACAAGATATCTAAAGATGTCAGCTTGGAAATTGAGGAATTAAGATGAACAGTTTTTACTATTTTCTGACATTTTAAACTAGAAAACTCACAAAAGGTGTTAATTTAAGCATCAAAACGCACAAACTACTTTATAGCTCTTCAGTGGTTAGTGTCAAACTATCCTATCGACAAAATCATTTGAATGTTTGTTTACATCATTTTCAGTTCAAGAAGAAGGAGTCAGAGGCAGGGCAGGTCAGAGGCCCCGCCTATTTCTGGCCCTGGAGTTTCTAAATAGAGTTTTGATTGTAAAATCATTTTCTGGAGATGTGCATTACCTTGAGCGGATCAAATCAAAAAGTAAATGATAAATGATCATAAAACCAGAGTTCCCGCCCCTCTCTTCAGGAATGCTGCTGGAGCTCCCGGGGCCGGTCCTGGGTCTGATGCTGCAGGATAAAGCCTCGCTGAGTGCAGCCGTGGAGAAGGCCCTCGGAGCCCTGCAGTGGGCCCAGGAGCCCAGGTACGCCCACCAGGTGTTTGCTGTGTGTTAGATTCTTAAAAACATTGTATATATTTGACCTTTTGCTCTCCTGCAGCAGGGTGCCGTGTAAGGAGGAGGACGAGGTGTCTGCGTCCTCAGACTCTGTGGGGGAGCAGCTGTTTGAGCTGGTGGACGTTTTCAACACCGGACACTCCCAGAAAATCACAGGTGAGCCACTGATCCTGAGACGCATAATACATATATCCTTAGACACCAAACAACATCAGCATGTTTTTACATGTATATGTAATGTATGTGCCCTTCCTTGCACACTGAATGGTTTCACTTTGAATCGTGCTAGCTGTAACTCGGCCCTTCTTTGTGTTTATTGTCAGACATTCTACAGTTTTTCTGTCTTCACGGTCAACTTTTTAGTTCAGTTTTATTTTCTATTTTAAGATGTTAATATTTATGTTTGTTTATTTTTTACTCTTAATTTTTTTAATGATGTGCAATGCCTTTGTTAAGAATTGCTGCTGTAACGAAAACAATCCAATTTGGGATCAATAAAGTTGATCTTATCTATGTATGTTGGTGTCAGCAATGAAGTATATCACCATCTATATTTATATGCAATTAAACGTTAAAACGAATGTGTAATGTATGGAAATACCCTAACCCTAACCCTTCTCTAAAAGGTATGCTACTGGAGCAGCACAAGGACGCAGTGTTACATCTTTTATCAGATCCAAATGTGCTGGAAGAGCAGGTGACCTTCGCACTGAAGACTCTTCAAGAGTATGTGGTGTATTACTCGTGTTGCATTTCAAATCTACAAAATAAAAGATTAAGAAATATTCTAAAGAACCGAATCATTCATGAAATTATCATTTTAAATCAACATTTTAATGTAGAGCAGTCTCTTTGGAAAATCTCAATTGAAGTTTGTAAAGATATGCCAGCCCCAAATATTCATTTCTTAAATGATAGTTAATGTTTGAAATAATATTCCTGCCTCCTCCGTCAGGCAGAACATGGAGGAGACGGACGTCAGTGACTGGTCGGACGCTGAGGACACAGAGAGGCTGGGGGAGAAGATATTCTCTCTGGTGGAGGGGCTGGACCCTCTGCATGCTCATGACATCACAGGTGACCTGAGGCTCTGTAGGGGCGTCTCCTGTTAGAATCAGGACGCTGTTTTGGTATTCTTATGTGGTCAAAGCGAATTCTTCTATGGGTACCTACGTTTTAATGTATTCAGCTACTGTTAAGGAAATATTAGCTTAGGTACTAGCCTTTGACCCAGTCCACCATTCTTTACCCCTCCTGTCTCTCTGCCCATGGCACAGGCAAGCTGACACAAGATGGTTTACTGGCTAGGGACATCTGGTAGTCCACTTTATCAGGTATATATGTCCCTTTAGTATATTCTTAAGCCAGGGACAAGAGTTATAGTGCTTAGGCCTGTTTTATATTGTTATGATTAATGTTGATTGTGCCCATAGAACTAATTAAAGTCTTCGACTGGAAGAGAGATCTTCAGAATTGGTCGGGCAGGAGCTGTCAGCTCGTGGTTGCAGCACATGTCAATTCTCCTGCCGTAACTTTGAATAAACCTCCAGAGTCTCACATCAAATTCCAGCTGTACCTTGTTCTCGCTGTGTTCCGAGTCCTTGCTCCAGAAGTTTTTATTTCAGCTACAAAAAACAAAACAAAACCAGAACAATATAAGATGTATTGTTCTGTATGTAGCACTTATACTGGTGTACCCATTTAGCTAACACAGGATTCTTGCTGTTCTGAGTAAGCATCTCAAGTAGCTTTGGATACAAGTGTCAGCTCAATAAAATGATACATATTTAATTAACACTGTTCCATTGTTGTGCTGGTGTGTGTGCAGGTATGCTGCTGGAGATGGAGCCCGCTGCTCTCCTTCAGCTGCCCAGCAACCACACCCTGCTGCAGGCAGCTGTTCAGAAAGCTCAAGCAGCCCTGCACCCTCGGAACCAAACTCTCTCCACTTAAACACACAAGGGCAGCATTTGAAACACACAATAAGACATTTATAATGATAATATAACGCTGGGAACAGCTTGCACATCACTCCAAGAGATCATGGTAATACAAGTCCCTTACATCAGGAACTGTGTTTGTTTTATACTGATTGTTGAGCGCATTTTGTGAGTCTAAGTTTGATTGATTTGATTTACTGTAAATAATTGAAGAGTGGAGAAAGCACAAATTGATATTGCCACCTTACTTTCATCAGAATCATTGTTGCTTGAATATGTTTACTGTAAAGTAAAAAAAGTGCTTATCTAATGTTTGCCAACAGAAATGCTGTGACAATTGATCAGATAGTTTTTGTACTGTACATAATGACGTGGTGAACTGTCTTTGCTAACAGAAATACAGCAGATTATATAAATGGAGGACCAACTTCAACATTGTCACACCGTGTTTAAATTGCATTTGCATGAACTGTATCTAAAAGTAGAGATTAAATGATAATCTATGAATCAAACCTGTAATCCCCTCCATCACCATCTGAATTTACAATACACGGAAGAGGAATAGTTTTTGGTGTAACTGGTGATTGAATTTCCACATCACATAAACGTTTTTTAATCTGCCTCCTCCTTTGTATGTGATTGGCTAAGGGGCGGGAGATCTCTAAGCGGTTGACCAATCACAACAGAGCCGGCCAGCTAACCAATCAGAGCAGACTAGGCTCTGGTTTCAGACAGAGGGTGAAAAGAGGTGCTGCAGCACAGGCAGTATGAGAAAAATAAAGAGCTTTTTGAACATTAAAGCATGGAGACATGTAGAGACACTACATACTGATATACACCTGAACATCAGCAGGAGAGGACTCTTTAAAGTAGAGACACTACATACTGATATACACCTGAACATCAGCAGGAGAGGACTCTTTAAAGTAGAGACACTACATACTGATATACACCTGAACATCAGCAGGAGAGGACTCTTTAAAGTAGAGACACTACATACTGATATACACCTGAACATCAGCAGGAGAGGACTCTTTAAAGTAGAGACACTACATACTGATATACACCTGAACATCAGCAGGAGAGGACTCTTTAAAGTAGAGACACTACATACTGATATACACCTGAACATCAGCAGGAGAGGACTCTTTAAAGTAGAGACACTACATACTGATATACACCTGAACATCAGCAGGAGAGGACTCTTTAAAGTAGAGACACTACATACTGATATACACCTGAACATCAGCAGGAGAGGACTCTTTAAAGTAGAGACACTACATACTGATATACACCTGAACATCAGCAGGAGAGGACTCTTTAAAGTAGAGACACTACATACTGATATACACCTGAACATCAGCAGGAGAGGACTCTTTAAAGTAGAGACACTACATACTGATATACACCTGAACATCAGCAGGAGAGGACTCTTTAAAGTAGAGACACTACATACTGATATACACCTGAACATCAGCAGGAGAGGACTCTTTAAAGTAGAGACACTACATACTGATATAGACCTGAACATCAGCAGGAGAGGACTCTTTAAAGTAGAGACACTACATACTGATATACACCTGAACATCAGCAGGAGAGGACTCTTTAAAGTAGAGACACTACATACTGATATAGACCTGAACATCAGCAGGAGAGGACTCTTTAAAGTAGAGACACTACATACTGATATACACCTGAACATCAGCAGGAGAGGACTCTTTAAAGTAAAGACACTACATACTGATATACACCTGAACATCAGCAGGAGAGGACTCTTTAAAGGAGAGACACTACATACTGATATACACCTGAACATCAGCAGGAGAGGACTCTTTAAAGTAGAGACACTACATACTGATATACACCTGAACATCAGCAGGAGAGGACTCTTTAAAGTAGAGACACTACATACTGATATACACCTGAACATCAGCAGGAGAGGACTCTTTAAAGTAGAGACACTACATACTGATATACACCTGAACATCAGCAGGAGAGGACTCTTTAAAGGAGAGACACTACATACTGATATACACCTGAACATCAGCAGGAGAGGACTCTTTAAAGTAGAGACACTACATACTGATATACACCTGAACATCAGCAGGAGAGGACTCTTTAAAGTAGAGACACTACATACTGATATACACCTGAACATCAGCAGGAGAGGACTCTTTAAAGTAGAGACACTACATACTGATATACACCTGAACATCAGCAGGAGAGGACTCTTTAAAGTAGAGACACTACATACTGATATACAGCTGAACATCAGCAGGAGAGGACTCTTTAAAGTAGAGACACTAAATACTGATATACACCTGAACATCAGCAGGAGAGGACTCTTTAAAGTAGAGACACTACATACTGATATACACCTGAACATCAGCAGGAGAGGACTCTTTAAAGTAGAGACACTACATACTGATATACACCTGAACATCAGCAGGAGAGGACTCTTTAAAGTAGAGACACTACATACTGATATACACCTGAACATCAGCAGGAGAGGACTCTTTAAAGTAGAGACACTACATACTGATATACACCTGAACATCAGCAGGAGAGGACTCTTTAAAGGAGAGACACTACATACTGATATACACCTGAACATCAGCAGGAGAGGACTCTTTAAAGTAGAGACACTACATACTGATATACACCTGAACATCAGCAGGAGAGGACTCTTTAAAGTAGAGACACTACATACTGATATACACCTGAACATCAGCAGGAGAGGACTCTTTAAAGTAGAGACACTACATACTGATATACACCTGAACATCAGCAGGAGAGGACTCTTTAAAGGAGAGACACTACATACTGATATACACCTGAACATCAGCAGGAGAGGACTCTTTAAAGTAGAGACACTACATACTGATATACACCTGAACATCAGCAGGAGAGGACTCTTTAAAGTAGAGACACTACATACTGATATACACCTGAACATCAGCAGGAGAGGACTCTTTAAAGTAGAGACACTACATACTGATATACACCTGAACATCAGCAGGAGAGGACTCTTTAAAGTAGAGACACTACATACTGATATACAGCTGAACATCAGCAGGAGAGGACTCTTTAAAGTAGAGACACTAAATACTGATATACACCTGAACATCAGCAGGAGAGGACTCTTTAAAGTAGAGACACTACATACTGATATACACCTGAACATCAGCAGGAGAGGACTCTTTAAAGTAGAGACACTACATACTGATATACACCTGAACATCAGCAGGAGAGGACTCTTTAAAGTAGAGACACTACATACTGATATACACCTGAACATCAGCAGGAGAGGACTCTTTAAAGTAGAGACACTACATACTGATATACACCTGAACATCAGCAGGAGAGGACTCTTTAAAGTAGAGACACTACATACTGATATACACCTGAACATCAGCAGGAGAGGACTCTTTAAAGTAGAGACACTACATACTGATATACACCTGAACATCAGCAGGAGAGGACTCTTTAAAGTAGAGACACTACATACTGATATACACCTGAACATCAGCAGGAGAGGACTCTTTAAAGGAGAGACACTACATACTGATATACACCTGAACATCAGCAGGAGAGGACTCTTTAAAGTAGAGACACTACATACTGATATACACCTGAACATCAGCAGGAGAGGACTCTTTAAAGTAGAGACACTACATACTGATATACACCTGAACATCAGCAGGAGAGGACTCTTTAAAGTAGAGGCACTACATACTGATATACACCTGAACATCAGCAGGAGAGGACTCTTTAAAGTAGAGACACTACATACTGATATACACCTGAACATCAGCAGGAGAGGACTCTTTAAAGTAGAAACACTACATACTGATATACACCTGAACATCAGCAGGAGAGGACTCTTTAAAGTAGATACACTACATACTGATATACACCTGAACATCAGCAGGAGAGGACTCTTTAAAGTAGAGACACTACATACTGATATACACCTGAACATCAGCAGGAGAGGACTCTTTAAAGTAGAGGCACTACATACTGATATACACCTGAACATCAGCAGGAGAGGACTCTTTAAAGTAGAGACACTACATACTGATATACACCTGAACATCAGCAGGAGAGGACTCTTTAAAGTAGAGACACTACATACTGATATACACCTGAACATCAGCAGGAGAGGACTCTTTAAAGTAGAGACACTACATACTGATATACACCTGAACATCAGCAGGAGAGGACTCTTTAAAGTAGAGACACTACATACTGATATACACCTGAACATCAGCAGGAGAGGACTCTTTAAAGTAGAGACACTACATACTGATATACACCTGAACATCAGCAGGAGAGGACTCTTTAAAGTAGAGACACTACATACTGATATACACCTGAACATCAGCAGGAGAGGACTCTTTAAAGTAGAGACACTACATACTGATATACACCTGAACATCAGCAGGAGAGGACTCTTTAAAGTAGAGACACTACATACTGATATACAGCTGAACATCAGCAGGAGAGGACTCTTTAAAGTAGATACACTACATACTGATATACACCTGAACATCAGCAGGAGAGGACTCTTTAAAGTAGAGACACTACATACTGATATACACCTGAACATCAGCAGGAGAGGACTCTTTAAAGTAGAGACACTACATACTGATATACACCTGAACATCAGCAGGAGAGGACTCTTTAAAGTAGAGGCACTACATACTGATATACACCTGAACATCAGCAGGAGAGGACTCTTTAAAGTAGAGACACTACATACTGATATACACCTGAACATCAGCAGGAGAGGACTCTTTAAAGTATAGACACTACATACTGATATACACCTGAACATCAGCAGGAGAGGACTCTTTAAAGTAGAGACACTACATACTGATATACACCTGAACATCAGCAGGAGAGGACTCTTTAAAGTAGAGACACTACATACTGATATACACCTGAACATCAGCAGGAGAGGACTCTTTAAAGTAGAGACACTACATACTGATATACACCTGAACATCAGCAGGAGAGGACTCTTTAAAGTAGAGACACTACATACTGATATACACCTGAACATCAGCATGATAGGGCTCATTTATAATATTAACACTCACTTCATTTTAAAACATGACATTCTGTAAAGAATAAAACCAATAGACATATGTTTCAAAGTGCTACAGAGCTCAAAAATAACTTTATTACCATTTTGTTTTCACTGTTTTATGTCAATGAGACATTCTAAACATTTGGGAAAAAACAATTTCCTTCTTTGAAACAAAAGGGGACCTCTTTTAAAAATCTCAACCGGATGTCTACAAAATCATTAAATCAAACATTTGGGATGACAAACTATTCAAATAAAAAATCACATCAGAAAATTAAAAATGACAAGGAAGTATTTAAGAGTACAAGTTACTCATTTCACAATTTAGATAAAGATTTATTTGTCTGCAGAAGCGGCCGATACAAACGATCAGAATATGAATCCACGTCATCGCTCTCTGATGAATCATAAATGCATTTCTTCAAAGCTAATCAGAAAAAATTAGTTGCTCTCCACACACACTCACACACATAGCTTTTTGCCTACAGCTCATAAATACAATCAATCTGATATACAAACATTTGGATAGATTTATTTTAAGCGACATTTAAAACAGTTTTATTTCCGATTCCTGCGGTTCTGAAGACCCCTTGTTTTGGTGACATCATCAAACTGCAGCCTATCTTGGACGCAAGACCCCGACACATCTTTAAATCAAGAGTTATTTATGGGCAGGAGGACATTTAAATAAATATCTGAAACTCTGAATATCTGTAAGGGAGGCCAGTCTCTTGTGTGTCGTGCAACATGTTTCCTTCACTGGAGGAAAAGCAAACGACACACTGGATTTATTCTCACACAAAATGCCATCTCCAGTTTACAGAATAAGTCCACAGTCTGAAATTAAAAGGTGCCACTGTCTTTCTTTCTATCCTTTCACACATACAAACAATCAAACATTTGGACACATTGGACTTCAGACACAAAGAGGGAAACCTAAAACATGACCATGTGTTGATCGTTCTGTTAACAGTGTTAGATCTGAGGGGAGCAACATGTTTATTTTTCAGTTTCTCGTATGAATGCATCCATGGTACAAGCCTAAAATCTATCTGTCTGTTTCCTGTGTGGAAGCAGGAAAAAAAGCCCTTCAAAAGCCTGTTTCAAATTCACCAGTGACGATTACTGAACTGAAGGAAGAGTGGTTAACGATGAAGATGGAGACTGATTCTGCTCTCCTTCGTCGCGGGCAGAACGAAGGGTCCTTTGGGCAGAGAGCAGTAGGTCCATGTGCTTCATTACTCCAGGGAGCATCTCTTTATCCAACAACAAGTCTGTTTCCACCATCTCTCTACAGGAGGAGGTTATTTTGACAGTGGGTACTGCCGCTGTCCGCCCAAACGCCCGGGGCGGTGTCCACCCCCCGATGGTGCACTCGCCTGAGGGAAGAGATAAAAAACAAACTTTAAGAAGTGAAGAGAAGAAGAAATAAGAGCACTTTTTAAAGATAGAGCATTAGGGCCATTGTAAATAGAATCTGAGGGTACTTAGAAATCTGAAATTCTCTAAGATTGAAGACACACAGTCATGTTATAAAATGTGTGTCTTTTAATCAAATGTTATCAAAATAAAATACAATTAAAACGAAATATATAAGAAACTAATCCACAATAGATTTAGCATTATAATCTCAGAGAAAATAAAATAAAAATTCTTGGAAATGTACGACTTTAATCTTGGAAATGTAGTTTGTCTTGGAATATACCCCTGGCTCTATCCCTTCTTTTTCACCTATAAATGAACCTTATTAGCCATTGTGCCTTAAATAACAAAACTATTATTATCGAAACTAAAATCCTAAATCCTCACCTGTGCAAACTGTGCAGGGTTATAAAAGGTGACGCCTCCAGCGGGTGGAGGTCCGGGGGCAGGGGGGCTCTGCAAAGACCACACACAGTTACTACAGTGTGTGCTGAGGCACTCCACACTTTGGTGTTTCAACAACATCATTAAAACAGAAGCAAGGAAAAGCAACGGCAAACAGGATCACAGTGAGGCTGGCTGTAGTGAGCATGCAGTGTGGAGGGTTATTGAAGCGGTGTGGTGACAACAAGCAGCGTCTCCAGCAGGCTCACTCTGATCTGTAGTGACTTCAGGTAGGACTCTGCTGTAGTATAAAGACTTTTAGAAGAGTGTGCAGAAATGTTAGCGGCTCTGTGAGGCTGTATAGACACAGCAGAGCTTTAAAGGTCAGCTGTTATCCTTTTATACATCAACATATGTCCCCTCAGTGTTCAGAGACTCTGAAAGTCTCAGAAACAAAGACCCTCTCTCCTTTTGTCCTGATCCTTCTATAGAAACCCTGTCTGAAAATGAGCCGATCAGATTGCCACTTTGTGATGTCTCAATGTTTATTTGGGTTGTGCAACCATCAACCAATAACCAACCCCCCCCACCTTATCACCTGAATCTCTTCCTAGAACACCATTGTGTTTTTTTAAACCAAAGATGTTTCAACAGCTAAAAAGTGACGATGTAGGGAATGTTTACTCTTTTCAAGGTATCATGTATCACCAAAGTTGTTAGAATGAATTCTTGAGGGAAAGATAAATGTCTGAGGAAAACCTCAAGACATTCTGAACAACACATGTCAAATAGGGGGGCAACAGTGTGCCCATATCGCAGTATACTGTGGTATTAGATTTGACAGTGAGCGTGCCGTGTATTTTGAGGAAAAACTGACATCATTGATTGTACGTGTGAGATAAAGGTACAGATTATGTACATTTTTTACATCATAGTAAATTATTCTAAGGAGTTCCTAGCTGATGTTTTTTTCATTTAGTATTAGTAGCTGTGTTCTAACATGCTTTAGATATAAAACATATTATAGTAACCTTCTATTAAAAATATATAAATAATAATAATATGAATTGTCCAAATACAACAAAGAGTGTTATAGGACCTTGAAAAGATCATCATCAAGACATTAAAAACATAAAATGTCAACCTTACATTAGCCCTAAAATCTCCAAAGCCAGAAGGCTTCATTTAGAGGGGAACATAATGTACTTAGTGTCAAGGTAAATCTTTTGATTCTTGATGAAATATTTCAGTTGGAACCAGATTTGTGGAACAACAGACCAACATTCAGCGTATCTCAAAATAAGGACTTCACTGCGTCTCTGATTAGATTAGATGTGTTTGTGTGAAACAGATTGAGAGTAAAGTGAGAGATGCTGGAGACGGCAGGCAGGAGAGCAGCAGACATCCTGGGTGAGATGGTCGGGGGGGAGCTCTGGGTTGCAGACAGTGAGTCGGGCTGCTAGTAATGTGGTGAGCTGGGTGTGTGTGGGGGGGGGGCAGGCAGGGGTGAGGGGGGACCAATGGAGGCCCAGCAGAAGGTACCTGGTTTAAATGCTGACTCACTTCGCGTGATAAAGAACTCATTGAGCTAGAACGTGAGAGCTAAAGACAGCAGAAGGGAAACAGTAGACAACAGAAAACACAAACCCATGTCAATAATCCTCACATGCACTACATTAGATTTCATCCACCAGATCACAACGAAAACCAGCGTTACAAAATTACGATTCATGGAGAGAATAAGATTATGGAACACAGATTTTTACTTTTTACCCAGGCTGCGCATTTAGCATGATTATGCGGAAAGTTTTAAAATGGACATGCATGCATTCCCATGTCGTTTCTCTCTCTTATTTTAACTTATGGCGCATTTCCATTGCAGCGCGTAGCTCGCTTTAAGCGTGCCGTGTCGTGCCGTCCCCTTTTTTGGTTGTGCTTCCACTAGGCTTCGTTCCGGCGCGGCACGGCCCGGGGCCACTTTTTCCCCTCTTTTCTGGCCCTAGAAAATTGTGGTTCTATCGGGGCCAACAAACAGGGCTGAGTCGGGCTGAGTATGCTAAACTAGAGAGAGGAGCGCTGGCAAGAGGGCTAGAACTACAACAAGATGGACATATTTGACCGTGATTTAATTGTAATACACGTTTCAAAATGATGCCGAAGTAACAACATACTGATACCGGTTAGTAAAAACCATGAATTAATGCTTTGTCAAGTCTGCAGACAGACGGCAGGCGAAAAACCTTTTAAAATTCGTGTTTTTCTAGATGGAGATTGGCTAAGCTAACGCAGTATATGCCCCGACCGTCCACACTCACAACAACGGCCTATACAGACATAAATAAAGCAGCGACTGTATTCACCATGACACAGGCAGTCTGTGGTGTGTACTTGTTTAACTTTTGTCGAGTTTCTGAACATATATAAGGAGCTGTGAGCTCTGAGTGCTCACAGCTAACGGCTGTGTTGTGTTTCTGGATTTCTCATTGAAGATGACGTCACGGCTCCGCCTACACTGCGTTACTATAGTAACTACCCCAGTTCCTAAACTGTAATGGAAGCGCAGCATGAAGTGAGTCGGCCCTGTTAAGGCCCAACGCGGCCAAGCCGTACCGAGTGTGGCCGAGGCCGACCGTGTAGTGGAAATGCGCCATTAGATTCATACAAATAAGCCCACTGCACGCACTGGCTGTTAGGGTGGAGCATCATGAATCAGTGGCAGGATGGCAGTGTGGAGGAAGCAGGAGGAAAGTGTCTTACCTCCCCGGACTGAGAGCCATCCGGCACGGGATGACCTTCTGGAGCGGGGGGTAACAACGTGGGGTTGAACATCTAAACAAAAATAAAATGCAACAGAAAGGAAAATGGATAAGAACAGATCTACCTTTGTATCTCATGACTGGCTAAATGAACTCTAAGCTATTGACTACTATGAGTAGTGTTGTAAACATTGGATATAGAGAGCACAACATTAAAATGATTATCTCTACTGTGGACAACTGTTTTTCAAATACATAAGCAATCTGTCCAATCAGATGAGTCCCCTAAATCTTCAAAATCAACCCTAAATTCCTCAAAATCAGTCCACAGAGAGTACAACTATTGGCATTTTCTGGTTAAAACTGCCATTTTTGATACTGAACATTTCAGAAATGGACTCAACATCTTCAAAAACCCTCAAAACAAACCCTGAGAGCATGAGGCTTCTCAAGTTAAAAAATATGTGGCGAGATGAGGATGACCGCAAAATGCATCGATGTGCAAAATAATGATCTTTCTGACTTTTTTTCACCTAAATGTACAACATAAATGGCAGAGAATATCAATTTCTCTCAGAATATTTACCTACAATGGCTCTAATACTCATAAATGACACTATTTGATAAGCATGATAAGAATTTGTTCACAAAGCCGATACATATTAAAGGTCCCCTATTATACTCTTTTTCATCAATATATTCCAGGTCTCAGATATATACAAACATGTCTCTGAAGTGTTTGGCAGCATCCCATAATCCCCTCTGTTTCAAAAGTGCTGATTCTGTGTCTGTAGCTTTAAATGCTAATGAGCTGCTGCTGGCCACGCCCCTCTGTGAAGTGATAGGTTAAAAAAACAAAACAATGGTGCTCTAGGAGGAGATTCAGGCAACAAGGTGGGCGGGGGTTACCTTGTTTGGTTATTAGCTAATGCAGGGTTGTCCAAACTTTTTTCACAGAGGGCCACATACAGAAAAACTTACTAAGGGCTGGGCCCCTCACTAGGCCTCATAAAGTAAGTAAAAAGTTAGCAAAATCAATCAAATGTAGCTATTTATGCAAATACGTTTGACAAGATTTGTTAAAAAAAAAGTTCGCAACTTTGACTGAATTTATTTGAAAGGTGGGCTTATTAACACACACTGTGTTATATACTCTATGTTAACATTTGTGTTTAAGAAATACTATATAAGACCATCACACGTTTCAGCTGTGGGCCATATTCCATTGTACTTTTAGAATTTGCTGCAGGCCAAATAAAAATGGATCACAGGCCGCATTTGGCCCCCAGGCCGTAGTTTGGACACCCCTGGGCTAATGGTTGCATGACCCAAAAAAACATTGTGACATCATAAAGTGGCCAAAATCTGATCAGCTCATTTTCAGACAGATTTTTATATCGATGGATCAGGACAAAAAGAGACAACTACAGGGGACACATGCTTATCTATAAAACACATACAAAAATGGATTTAGCATAATAGGTGACCTTTAAAACTATCAATGTATTTCCTTTTGAACTTATGACGTTCACCACTAAAGAGAAATCGATACCTGTGGAGCAGCGTTGGTGTTTGGTGAATTCTGCTCCTGATTTCCTCCTTCACTTCCCTCCAGAGGCTGTTGGTCGTTAGGAGCTAAACCAGAGACAACATTACATCACTTCAACTCTTTATTGTACTAAGTTTTCTCCCAAACAAAAAGGCATCTGAACCTCGCTTGTGAATGTCACTGCTCCACATATACACTTCATCCTGACACCTACACACCTGAGCTAGGCACAAACAGGTTAGCAGGCATGGACATTGGAGCCAGAGGAGCGAAGAAGTCTGCCGGAGCGGGGGCGAATCCTCCAGGTTTAGCAGCTCTGCTCGGGTTCAGGACATCCACATATCTGCTCTTTGTGCCTGAGAGGAAAGAAACGCATGTGAGAGGAAAGAAACGCATGTGAGAGGAAAGAAACGCATGTGAGAGGAAAGAAACGCATGTGAGAGGAAAGAGACAGATGTTTGTGCGAAGGCAAGGTGGGTTTTAGGGCTGCGACTGAAGATTATATAATGGATGAGTCTATAAAATGTCATAAAATAGTGAACAATATCAATTCCAGTTACTCAAAGCCCAAGGTGATGTCTTCAAATGTCTTAAGTTTGTCTGTCCCAAACCCAAAAATGTTTATTTAATATGATATAAGACAGATAAAAGCTACTCTTACGATTAATCTATTATCAAAAAAAAGTTGCGGATGATTTGTCGACTGATTGTTTCTCCATTTGTTTCATCAACATCTTGTAAAAAAAAAAGTGTAATTGAAGGTTCATCATGGCGTGGACACTCACCTGCCCTCCTGGAGAACATGTTGACAGGCGGACCCCCACTCGGGGGGGCAGTGGGCCCAGCCATCTGAGGCATCTTGGGGAAGCAGGGGGGAGGAGGAGGAGGCTTACTCTGAAAGAAACCAACATTAAATCAGGACTGGTTGATCTGAAATGATATACACAAATCCAGTCTGTTGTGATAGCTGTCATGTGGATCTGATGCAGTACGGACCTCCTGCTCAGGCTCGTTCATGTCCACCCATCTCTGCTTCTGTTCGTCCCAAACGATCTGACAGTAAAGAACACAGGGCTGTCATTACTGCTGCTCACATGATCTGGATCAGGGGTTATTTCATTATTTCTGTCATTCTTTGTGCCTATAAACATGTATCTGTGCTGATGCACATGTTTTGATGTGTTAAGAAGGCTAGTATTAATGTGATCTTAAATGTGCTGTCATTGTGCTCATGTGTTTCTGTCTGTGCAAATGTGCTCTTGTCTGTTTGCCAGGGACTGCAGATGAAAATGAGCCCCTTTGGCTTTATCTGGCACATGCAAATGATGGACTCAAGTGTCATGTTGATTTAATGTGCATTGTCCCTTCTTAGATAAATACACACAACCCGAATACAGAGGTATGTGAATATAAGACCTGCAGAAATAACACCTCTAACTCACAGATTTGTCATTGTCGTCCGGCAGGTGAGCCTCGTTCTTCCCCTTCCTAATGATCCAGCTCAGCAAGCCTCCGACTCCTCCACCACCTCCACCCTGTGAGAGACAAAGAAATAGCACTGATTAGCAGTGTTTGGGGTAACCTGCTACAAAGTAACGAGTACCTGTTGATAACAGCAGTAATTACAGTTACTCAGCTCGTGCCCTGCGTTTTTAAGGTCTTCAACTATCTGCATAACGGGAGGACAGAAAAATACAACATCGCTTTTCGCTTGCAAGTTCATGGATGAAGAGACGGAGCACATACCTCAGACTCTCATAGCAGAGATAAACAGGTTTGATTCAGCTACATTGTGGAGGAAATGTTGCCCGTTTCCATGGACAGAATCCATGCAAGCTACCTGGACCAGAGTCTGATGAAACTGAGCTACAGAAAACATGATGTTCACCAAAGAGCAGAGGTCTGTGTGCAGTCATGTCCTATTAAGGGTTTACATTACAATGCATTACACATGAACTAGTAATGTGTAATGCATTACTTTTTGGGATAACTAACCCTGCTGATGAGTAATGAAAGCCTGTCGGAGAACTGACAGAACAGAGGGGTGATGGAGGAATATGAACCTTTTTCGGGGAGTTTTTCTTGGCTCTCTTGGCCTCCTCTTTGCGGGGCTGTTCAGGGATGGAGGGGGGAGGAGGAGAGGCCTGCTTCACCACCGAGTTGCTCCTCTCTCTTACTCCAGAGTGGTTGGACGACTCAGAGGTTGTGCGAGAGCGACGCCCCGAAGGCTGCAGACGAGAAAATACCAGCCAGAATGTTAGATATATTATATTAAAGATAGATATATATATATATATATATATATATATCATCAAAACATCAATATATATATATATATATATATATATATATATATATATATATATATATATATGTTTTTGGGTTATATTTATTCGTTACTGTCCATCCAAAATCGTTAAAGCAGTAACAAATCAATTAGAGATCCAATACATTTTCTGGAAACTGTAAAAGCAAACTATCCCATTTCAAAATGATGGATAAAAAAAATGAAGATTGTTTTGGGAGCTTCTTCCTTTTCACCGTCTAGTAGTGGACTTTCTCTTAATAATACAATTGTAGAGATTCTGAGATCTCAAGCGAAGTTAAATCAACATTCTTTTTATTTCTTAGGAAACACCACCTGCTCTAAATGGAAGCTGAAAACAAACCCAAAAAGCCTAAACCTGGACAAACGAGTATTTTTATATTATATAAACATAGATAAACCTTTCTGAGGAGACTCATCAGCTTGACTCTTTCTTCTTTACCGTCTTAAAGTAGTAACTAATTGATGGACTCCCTCTGCTGGTAATAATAATGTATTTTCCTTAAGGTTAAACCAATGTTAAATCCACATGTTCAATCAGCTATATTTGACATTTCTTAGCTAGAACAACCAAATCAGAGCTGGAACCAACGTTAACAAACCCGGACAGATGAGCATTATTTATGTGAAACACAAACGCACCATATGCATTGAAGATTGAGAAACAGTCCTCGACCTCCTCCCAGGACCCTGCAGCACCAAAAAACACAGTAGTTCATATTTTAGTAGGCGAAAACACTTCTATGGATAAAGACTCCTGAAGACGGCTGAATGATACTGACCATGGTCGCCATTTGGTCGTAGAAGTCCCTCTGCGGGGTGAAGGAGGGTATTTGATGCATCTCAGGGGGGCTATGGATCATCTGCTCTGCAGGGGGCATGTGCATAGGAGAGGGGGGCATGTGCTGAGGCATCTGCAGTGGTGGGGGGTTCATCTGTATAGGGGAGTGCGGTACATGTGGGGACATTTGGCCCATTTGAGGAGGTGGGGGTTGCTGATGGGCCCCTGGGAACATCTCTATCTGCTCAGGTTGAGGCTGGAAGGGAGGGGGGGCGAAGACGGGGCCCTGCGGAGGGTAGCTTTGGGAGACTGGCATCTGGCCTGGGGGTCCGCTGGGGGGGACCGGGTAGAACTGGGGCACGTCGTTGGATTGGAAATGCTGAGGAGGGGCCATCCCGTCTTGGAGGATAGAGGTGGGAGCTGAGAGGAAGAGGAGAGGAGATAAGATGGACCGTTATTCAGGAGTTAAAGCAGCAACAAGATTAGATTGAAAATGTCATTATATAAGAAACTGTTAAAACAAGATATCACAACAAGAGGTCAAATGTTGATCAGTTGAATGAACATGGAGTGTGATGCGATTTGAGTCTGGCTCAGAGTAAAGAGATGTTGATGAGCGGACCACAAGTAAAACCCAGATCACACTTCTCCCTGCAAAATGACCTGGGTCTGAGAACCCACTGAATATACAATCCTTTCACAATGTCAGGACAGAGATAACCTTTTGTCTCTCCTTCTGATGTTTCAGAGGGTTAGGAAAGAGTCCAATTGTTACGATGGTCACTCCATTTTTACCTGTTACTTATTCAATCTCATTTTGTACACGTTTATTGAGTTTGAATGTCGTGTGATTTGACTATGGTCATTGAGGGAAAACTACTGCTTCTGTCAATATATGGTGCTCTTGTGAAGAACATCAAAACATCTCATGAAATCAGGTTTTATTCTGAACAAATTAGAGGTGGTGACTGTTGGAAAACAGAATAAATAACCAAGGATGTGTGCTTTGATAAACAGCAAGGTCAATTCAAATAATTACAAGTTTTGTTCATAAATAAATTATATATATGCTGCAGCTAATTTATGAAGATCATAACCGTTCCCATTCATAACAAAAGCCAGATATAAGCTAGAGTAAGTGACACACACACACACACACACACACACACACACACACACACACACACCTGGAGGCATCAGCTGCACTCCCTGCTGCGGGGGCCCGGGCAGTAATGAGCTCATCAGCTGGTTGTCGGGGGCGGGGCCGTCCATCTCCACCGGCATGTTGTAGGGCTCAGAGGGGCTGGGCTGGTCCAGGTCCGAGCTGGGGCTGCTGCAGTCGTACTGAGAGGAGGGGGCTCTGTCCTCACTGTAGGTGATCACCCCCGTCTGGAGAGGAGACACACATTCAACATTTGGTACATGGGAACAAACTACACAGAACGATTCAAGTATAAGACGTTGCAATCAAGTCCAAGCAGCCCATAGGAAACTACTGTCTTCAAAGTGCTATATCTCCTTACCCGTATCTGTCCGTCCAGCTGCTTGAGGTGGCTCAGCCATCCAGGTTCAACAAACAGCTCCTGCTCCGGCTTCTCCTTCAGTTGTGGATCGAAGAATCGCAGCTTTTCTGACATCTGTCGACATAAAGCACATAACATTTGTTTAATTAGCTAAAACCATTACGTATCTGAACAGAGAGAAGAGGAGTGAGTGCATACCTGTATAATTTGGCTTATGAACACAGGAGAGTAAAATGAAGGCTGCATGAGGACAGTCCTGGAAATAACTTCACAGTAGTGGAAGGCCTGAGCACTCAGACCGGATTCAGCTAGGCGGCATGCATAGATCAACTTGAACACCTTCAGAGAGATAAACAGAGCAGAGACAGTGTTACGCAGGTAGGGACATGCAAACACTTCTTATCAGTTTGGATAGGCCTCTTTTATCTTTAATATAGGGCCAAAATAAGGTTTTTAGGTTTATTATTGTATCTGTAAATAAAATATAAATGCACCTGGAAGTTGGGCTGTAAGCAGGGCTGGGAGCCCAGAGACTGAGCGTACTCATAGGCCTCAGTCCTCTGGATGGCTTCATTGCTCGCACATTGGAAAAAGGGCATACTGAAGAGACAAAGATAAGATGATGTGTGAGACATAACTTGCTAAATGTATTGCGGTCTATAAAGGTCCCTTAGGAACACTCCACCATCGTTCCTGTCCCCAAAAAGTCTAAAATCACCTGCCTCAACGACTACCGCCCAGTAGCACTCACCTCCATCATCATGAAGTGCTTTGAGCGGTTAGTCAAATCATTCATCACCTCCTCCCTCCCTGACTCTCTGGACCCCCTGCAGTTTGCCTACAGAGCAAACGGGTCCACAGACGACGCCATAGCCCTCACCATCCACACTGCCCTCTCACACCTGGACCCGAAGAACAGGAACACATATGTGAGAATGCTGTTCATTGACTACAGTTCAGCATTCAACACCATTGTGCCCTCCAAGCTGGCCATCAAGCTCAGAGACCTCGGGCTCAACAGCGCCCTCTGTGACTGGATCCTGAACTTCCTGACGGGCAGACCCCAGGCAGTGCGGGTGGGAAACATCACATCCTCCACCCTGATCCTCAACACCGGAGCCCCTCAAGGCTGCGTGCTCAGCCCTCTCCTCTACTCCCTGGTCACCCACGACTGCGTGGCCACACACAGCTCCAACACCATCGTGAAGTTTGCTGACGACACGACCGTCATCGGCCTGATCACCGACGGCGACGAGACGGCGTACAGAGAGGAGGTCGGAAACCTGACATCTTGGTGCCAGGATAACAACCTCCATCTCAACGTCAGTAAAACCAAGGAGCTGATTGTGGATTACAGGAAGCAGCAGGGAGAGGGACACGCCCCCATCGCCATCAATGGGACTACGGTGGAGAGAGTCAGCAGCTTCAGGTTCCTTGGGGTCCACATCACTGAGGACCTGACATGGTCTCTTCACACCACCACCATCACCAAGAAAGCTCGACAGCGGCTCTTCTTCCTCCGCAGGTTGAGGAGGTTCAACATGGACTCTAGGATACTCTGCAACTTCTACAGGTGCACCATAGAGAGTATACTGACCTTCTACAGGTGCACCATAGAGAGCATCCTGACCTTCTACAGGTGCACCATAGAGAGCATCCTGACCTTCTACAGGTGCACCATAGAGAGGATCCTGACCTACAGGTGCACCATATGCCCCTTTCACACCGGCGCTTTTCCAGCTCCTGCTGGGAGCTAGAGCCTGAAAAGCGCCGGTTTTTCCTGTTCACACCGCAGCGGCGGCGCGTCATAGCTCCGGAATGCGGTTCACTTCCAGCTCCAAAAAGTTGTCGGTCCAGAGGCAAGAGCTTTGGAGCTATGACGCGGCGTCGCTTACGTCGAGGCGTGCAGGAAACCTTACTTTGACCATCCGTTCGCTGTTATTGATCATTGTGGAGAGCAGGCAGACGTTTTGTTTGTTATTATAGCAGCTATCGGATGGAATCAATACATGGGCTGTACAGGTTGTCATGTCCGACTATCACAAGTAGAATCATAATGAAAAATACGCCGGTAAACTGTGCCTGGAGAAAACGGCTTAGCAAGTAGTCAGTTTAGCTTCGGTTGCTATGCTAACATCACCCATGTTATACCAGAGAAACTTTCATAACAGCGTTGTGATGCCAAACAGCGTCAATTCAGACTGACACACATTCACTTAAGGGTAACTGGGGATATGTATCAGCTGCTTGTGTGACAGTCAGACAGTGAATACTTTAGAGCCGCTAACGGGAGAATAAACTCCCGTTGAAGAGCAGCCAGCACTGTAGCGGTCGGTAAATGCCGCTGAAACACATTAATAAACAATGAACCACGGCACTCTGGAGAAAAGTATAAGGGTGGAGAAGCCGTTATTTAATTTAATCTGGCTTCGTATGATTAAAAGCAACACGATCGTCGACCCGACGCAGTCCCCGGCCCGTTGTTGTTGTGGGAGAAAATCTCTCGGCAGCTCTGGGCGGTGTGAACAGAGCGGGAGCTGAAAAGGGAAACCGGAGCTGAACCAGAAAAGCTCTCGCTAGGAGCTAGAAAGGGAAAAGCGCTGGTGTGAAAGCCGCATCAGAGAGGATCCTGACCTACAGGTGCACCATAGAGAGTATCCTGACCTTCTACAGGTGCACCATAGAGAGGATCCTGACCTTCTACAGGTGCACCATAGAGAGGATCCTGACCTTCTACAGGTGCACCATAGAGAGCATCCTGACCTTCTACAGGTGCACCATAGAGAGGATCCTGACCTACAGGTGCACCATAGAGAGTATCCTGACCTTCTACAGGTGCACCATAGAGAGGATCCTGACCTTCTACAGGTGCACCATAGAGAGGATGCTGACCTTCTACAGGTGCACCATAGAGAGCATCCTGACCTTCTACAGGTGCACCATAGAGAGCATCCTGACCTTCTACAGGTGCACCATAGAGAGGATCCTGACCTTCTACAGGTGCACCACAGAGAGGATCCTGACCTTCTACAGGTGCACCATAGAGAGGATCCTGACCTTCTACAGGTGCACCATAGAGAGTATCCTGACCTTCTACAGGTGCACCATAGAGAGGATCCTGACCTTCTACAGGTGCACCATAGAGAGCATCCTGACCTTCTACAGGTGCACCATAGAGAGGATCCTGACCTACAGGTGCACCATAGAGAGGATCCTGACCTTCTACAGGTGCACCATAGAGAGCATCCTGACCTTCTACAGGTGCACCATAGAGAGGATCCTGACCTTCTACAGGTGCACCATAGAGAGGATCCTGCATCACGGCCTGGTACGGCAGTTGCAACGTCCTCAATCGTAAGACTTTACAGAGGGTGGTGAAAACTGCACAGCACATCACCAGGAGGGTACCGCAGCATCCGGACTAAAACCACCAGATTCAGAGACAGTTTCATCCCACTGGCAATAAGACTGCTAAACAACTGAACTGCTGAAACAACATCCATAACATTCTGCTACTTAGTAATTATTTATCTATTTATCTAATATATCATTCCAATAACTTGCATATAGACTCTTATTGCACTATTTCAAACTATTTTTCTTTTTGTATTTACTATTTACTTGCACTATATTTTTCTGTTTATCTGTGTTATTGTGTTGCACTGTTGGAGGAGCCTGTGACCTAAGAATTCCATCGGCATAACGTAGCTATGTTCGAATGACAAAATAAAGAACCTTGAGCCTTGAATGTGTGTGTACTAGGGCTGTCCCGAATACCATTTTTCGGGCTCCGGATATTCGGTAGTAATCAGCAGCGGATATTCGGCTTCAACACGTGTATTTCGGTTTATTCACGGCATTCATTTTGTTATTCTACAGTATTGTTGTTTTATAGTTATATGTTAATGTAAATAACCCAATTTATGTTCTTTGAAATTGAAAAGGATATTGCATTGTGTTTGTTACTTTCGTTGCAGTTGTATATGTCTTAAGTGTAATTTGGCTTGGCTTCCTATTTTGTATGGACATGCTTTTATTTTTGAAGGAGAGTTAGCGCTGTTGACAGGAAGTTGTTGTTGCTATGGAAACAACGTGACGGGCAAAAGGAGCGGAGATTAACGGAGAAAAGTCATATCTACATATAAAGACGGAGAAAGTAAAGGATAAAGTTTATGGTTAAGTGTTAGCACCCCCCGAAGAGGCACAAGCTCTTACGTTGATATTGGAGATTTCAATAAATTCAATTTGGGAGCCGCAGTGCAGTGCAGCTGCCAAAAAAAAAGAAAAAAAAAGAATATCCGAATAACAAAATTGAAAACCGAATAGTGGGCCAAAGACCGAATATTGGGATATTCGGGTACAGCCCTAGTGTCTACCTGCCTCCATCTCTTACCTATGGTTGGAGCCAATCAGAACCATCTTGGTGCTCTTCTTTGTGTAAACTCCCAGACCCACCTGGGCCATCAGGTAGCAGAAATGAGCCGCATCGATCAGCCCCTTGGAAGCTGCAGCGAAACAACGCAAGGCCCGACAGAATGTGAGGAAAAGTCTTTGTTGTGGTTCAGAATGAAAACAATACTAGTTTCATCTTTTAAATCACTTCTTAAAACTCATCTCTTATTTAAAAACTAATAATGCCACTACTCGGTTTTACTCTACATCCATGTTTTATTTGTAATCACTTTGCTATTGTTGAGACGTTGTATATATTACAGCCCCTAATGGACCTGGACATTACACAGAGGAGTTGACTTTGAATCCATGTAAAGCACTTTGTAACTTTGTTTTGAAAAGTGCTGTATAATAAAGTTATTATTATTATTATATAGTTTAATGCAGCCAGATTGAGTTTTGATGCATTCCTACCCAGAGTGTCTCCCATGGTGCTCATGGTGCGGGTATCCAGGTCCAGAGTGTGTGTGAGGTTAGACAGCACCATGGCCAGGTGGGGGCGCCAGTCGCCCCACTTCTCCTCTCCGCAGCACTGCATGAAAACAACACATATCTTCACTTGGAAGGCAATAGAGAGACACAGGGTCAGACACCCTGAAAACACACATCTTGAGCCACTTCTGAGGAGTAATACAGAAGAATATGGAGGGGCTAAAAAGAGAGAAAAGCTCACAGTGGCTGAGGCCGGCATCCTCCCGGACATCAGCTGGTACACCGTCTGCAGGGGGTCGTTGATGGGCAGACTGTTGGCAAACCTACACAGAACAGGACACACACATTAAATAAGACATATATGACATACTGTGGGTGCAGCTATGATTAAAAGTCACAGCTTTTTTATGTAATTGCTGCTTTACCTTGTCATGACGCGTGCATGTGTCCTGTTGTCCATCTTGCTGGCCAACAGCAGGGCGTGGCCCCAGAGGCCCCCCTTCATAGCTGCTTCTAGTGCATCCTATTTCACAGACAAAGTGTAACTCATTTAAGATTTTACAAGATGCTAGTTATGTGACTTTAATTATGATGATAATAACAAATAATTATATTATAGAGCACTTTTTCAAACTAAACTAGAAAGTGCCTGACATGGTTAAACAGAAACAGGACTGCAATGACATCCAGTCAGAGAATTACAACAATACAAATACAATGCTAAAAAAAAGTGCTATCATTAAAATATTTTTAACCTTGATTTTAGAAGTTATTTAATAAGTCATTAGCTCTATTTCTTCCTCTTCTTTGTTGATTTTCATTTTAAATCATATATTTTTTTAATCTTTTATCTTAATTTGTTTTGCTTTGTTTGGACTCTAATCATATAACTTCTTATTACGTACTACGTATAAAATAAATATATACAAGTAATCAGTGAAATGTTAAGCTCTTCCTGTTAACCGGTGAAGACACACTCCAGCAGGGCTGATGTGACCCACTCCCAGAGTTTGGAGAGCAGAGCTGGGACTTTTTCTCTACCTTCTTGCGGCCAAACAGCAGCAGCTCTCTGAAGCGTTCAGTTTCCTTGCCCAGGTTTTCTGGGACGATCATGAAAGTGTCGGAGAGGAGAGACAGCGGCCCGGCACCCGGCTCCTCCTCAGCTCGAGCCAGCGGCTCGTTGTTAAAATCTATCAGGTTGGCTTGATTAGGACTTTTCCCCGGGAGCCAGACAGAGCGGTGCTCCTTCAGCAGGAGGTCAGCGATGTCCGTGCCGACCACCGTCTACAGAAACAAGAGTGACAGTGGGAAAGGTGTTTTAGAAAAATATACACATTCTCACTTTGACATATTTCCACGTGAGTTCACAGCCTCACCCCGTTCTGCCTGCAGAGCAGCATGATGAAGTCCCACAGCAGGCGGGCAGAGTCCCGGTCCAGGAGGTTGTTGTCCCGAGCGCACTCCAGAGCTTTGTTCTGAGAGAACTTGATCACATCCACCTTATGGGTCTCTTCCCTGGTGGAGGACATAAGATTACCCTTTATTGATCTCCGTAGGGAAATGCAGGTGCTCTAGCAGCAAAAGAATAAGGGAGGATCATAGGAAGGGAAAGTTGAGAGTTCACACAAGGATAAGAATAATACAAAAGAACAGGTTAGCAGTGCTTAGTGGCTACCGGCTTGGTATAGTAATAAAAACAACAAAAATAAAAGAGACCATATATTATTGATTTTTTATATATATATATATATATATATATATATATATATATATATATATATATATATATATATATATATATATATATATATATATATATATATATATATATATATATATATGATGGGTGCTTTGTGTGGAGAAATACAGAGAGGCGAAAGAAGTCAGAAAGTGTGAAAGGCTTTCTGTTTACAATAACAATAAAATACTTTTCCAGCCTTGTTCTTTAAAGCTCAATGACTCAAAGCTATTAGAGGTGTACAGAAAGGGCAGAATGCACTTACTTCACAAGAGGGCCAGGGAAAGCCCGCAGTTCTGCCTGTTCGGGGGTATCCTGCAGCATTGTCTGCAAATAGAGAAATGGATTACAATTCTGCTTTATACAGCCTAAACATGAATGCAACTGGAAAGGTTATATGTTCTAACTTATACCTGTAAGGTTGAGCAATATATCTAACAGATTCTACAGATACTGAATAAAATCATTAGTCTGTTTGTCTAACAGTCATGTTTACACCTTTACATGTTTCAATCCCTTACCGCTACTTCATTCATTACAAACAGTGGACCAAATCTTCCCACAGTAAGGTGCTGAAGTATTATCAGTTAAATGTACCTCCAGGTTGTGGATATCAACGAGAGCAGGCTGTCCAGCTGAGGGCAGGTTGGGCAGAACTTGGACCAGATGACCACCGGGGCCAAAGCGGGCACAGCGGTGGGGCATGCTGAACTTCTCTGGGGTTGCAGGACGAGGAGGAGCTACAGAGGAAACATCACTCAGAGTAAGAGGAGGTGGTATTTGAAGTCTATGAATGAACTCTAGTCAACTTTCTGTGCAAATGCCAGACTTCTGGTTGATTTAGGGACGTCACAGTGTTAAGGAATAGTGGCTAGGAGAATTCAAAAGGACTTAGGAATAGACGACCAGGCTTCAAGAGAATCCGACTGCACTGACACTATCAGACGTGTTTATGATGCTCCAGCGGATATTATTAATGTGCGTCTGCTGGGACACTACAGTTCTCTGTACAGAGGACTACTATCACTGTGTATATCACCATTGAAAAATGTTAAAACAGTTTAAGAAGCCCCACACAGCTCAGTAAACACTGTGAAATGTTGACTTTATTTAATCCTTTTACAGTAAAAATCCTTTAATATTTCTCCTTTTGATTATTATAGTGCTGACCGGTCAAAACAAAGCACTTTGGCAGGCTATGGTCTAAGTTGTTCAATGTTGGATAAGCACAGTGACATGATCCGCATTTCTCGGTCACGATCAGTTGTTTCCGTTAGCGGCCGAATGTTGTGTCACGGTTAATGTTGCTGCCTCAAGGCATTGTGGGGCAGCATTTTCTCCTTTCCTTTCGTAAAGGTAGGTCCAGTGTTTCTCTCGAGAATCTGAACAGCTCTTATCATGGCTGCCACTGAGGTACTTCCGGGTCATTTCACTCCGTTAGGACCCTTCCTAAACTAAACTGACAAATCAAACCCAACCTTAGAACGGTGTACTCACGTTGCTCGGGGGCGGTCCAGGTGCTGTCTGCGTTGTACTCTGAGGGGTACAGGTACTGGCTGTAGTTCTGTGTAGCATCGGCCTGGTTCTGGTACTGTGCGTAGGAGTAGTCCACAGCCAGAGTGGAAGAGGTGGTGTCATAGACGGCTGACACCAGGTCAGGCTGGCTTCTGTACACCTGGCTCTGCAGGGGGGGGGGGGGACAAATGGAGTTAATTATCGGAATTGCAAGATAAGAAATTCAAAATAAAGCAAACAGGAATACGTTTAAAACTAATTTCAAAAGAGCAGAGTTGGCCATTTCTTTAGTTTGATACCAAGACATTTTGGTTTCAGAAAGAGGTGCAAGAACAGTTTTTTATCCTATGCTTAAGATAATCACTTGGACAATGCTAACAACTGTATGCAATAGTGTCGAGTAAATGGTGCAGCTGGTCCTGATATTACATTTGGATCAATAAGGTATATCTTATCTTAGCTAACTTCCTTACAAATAAAGGCTAAAATTGTCAAGAAACTGTTGAATGAAGCAGCTGAGAGCCAAAAAGGATCATTAGACTCCCTGAAAGCGGATCTGACCGTACATAACATATGCATTCAGAAGAATGTGTCGTTTTACCGGCTGTGATCGTGAGCTGAAGCTGCTCCTCCGGCTGGTGTTGCTGTGGGCGCTGTGCACGCTGTGGGCCGACTGCTCACTGTGGACACTGCGGCGGTCGAAGTCATCCCCAAACGCTTCTCCACGGCGACGGTAATCATCATCAAAACTGGCATCATAACCGGGGTAGTACCGCCACTGATCATCGAAGCCCTCTTTCCTGTGAGAGGAGATACAGAACTACAGTTGAATCAAGCAATTTGCAAAAAAACTGCTGCAATGTGGTATTTAGACATGATAAGTCATACATGTAACAAAAGGTTAACCATTTTTAAACTTTTTAAATACATTTTTCCATCATTTCCATATAAATTGATGAAACGTTACACCACAACACCTTTTTACACAGCTCCATTTTTTACAAAACATGTAATAATGTAATTGATATGTACACAATGTGTTTTCTGTGCATACCTGGCAGGATACGCTTGTTGTTGCTGATTATAGTAGTTTTCTCTGCCTCTGTAGCTTTCATCATAATTAGCCCAGGCCTGATCATAGTATGCTCTGTATCGCGGGTCATACGCTCCATAGTTGTATGCTACAAACAGAAAAGATCCATCATTTTAGAACAAATTATGCATCATTATGTTTACTATCCAATACTTTTAACCTGAGCTCTGACCTCCATAATCATAGTGCTTGGCGTAATCTGCATAATATTCATTGTAGGCACTTTGGTTTGCTCTGTTGGGATCTTCAGGATAGCCTTGCCTGCGGGAGAAAGCAGGAAATAGGTGATATTTACAGGGAAGATACAAAAAAAACATCTAAACATACTTATCAGGGATTTTTTTAAATGTACGTGTAACATATACCCATCAAGGGAACCTTATTTAGTTAGCAATATATTCTCTTTTTAAGTAAGACACTTAAGAACTGCTTTTAAAAGTGCTGAATTGACATGAAGTTGGTATAAATTGTGACTTTAAAGATGGGGTAGGTAATTTTGGAGAAACCAGCTCGAGTGCGCTAGAATTTGAAAATACACAACCGGAGAAAATCTGCCACTTCCTTACAGAGCCCCTCCTCCAACACACACGAACGCACACATGACCAATGAGGGCACGAGATAAGTTTGTGCACAGATGGAAGGCTGACAGGCAGGTAGGCCATCCAGTTATTTTAGCCGGGCCGGCTAAAATGATTGGTCGTGCTTTTTACAGTACTACGGCTTACACAGATTACATTTTTTTATGGATTTTTTGTCAAAGCACTTAAGATATTCATTGCTATCGGGATGTTAAGAGCATTCCATGGAATATAACAAAAAGTGTATCTCGAGCCGGTTTCTCAAACTTACCTACCCCACCTTTAAGTATTAAAAGTAAAAGTGTCAATGCAAAACAAATAAGAAAAAGCAGCACATTTGGGAAGATGGAACAATTAAAATAAGTTTTAATCAAGATAGTTTTCATCCAATTTTTTATCGACTAATGGATAACTCATTCCAACTGCCCTTTACACTACTGTAAGTAGTACAATATTTCCATCTAAAATGTAAGGAAGTAGAAAAATAAGTATGTCCAATTTGTAATTAAATAAAGTACTTGAGTTAATGTTCCATCACTGAGCCAGCGTATCACAGACCTGGAGGAGGAGCGGTCAGAGTACTGGCTGGCTCTGGAGCTGGGTCTCTCCGGCTGAGGCTCTCTGTACTGAAGGTTTGGATCCCGATAAGCTGCCGTCTGTCCTTCATATCTGCCGTACCACGGATCAGCTCTGCCCCTGTACGAACCATCCTGAGAGATAAAACACTTTAGGTCACATTTCTTTCATTTGATGGCTGCAGTTGGTCATGCATGATCTTCTTCTGCATTTCAAAACTAAAAGGACTTTTCACATACTGGATAATATTGCTGTGCTCTAGGATCCCCGGGTGGTGGAGGAGGTGGGTACTGGCCAGGAGGCTGAGGCGGGTACTGGCCAGGAGGCTGAGGCGGGTACTGGCCAGGAGGCTGAGGTGGGTACTGGCCAGGAGGCTGAGGTGGGTACTGGCCAGGAGGCTGAGGTGGGTACTGGCCAGGAGGATAAGCTGCTCTGCCGTCCGGGTATTCTCCATAATTACCATAATAGCCACCATACATCTGCCCTGGCCCTGGAGGAGGAGGGGGCCCATAGCCCTGCTGGCTGCCTGCAGAGGAGGGTGGTCGAGGGGGCTCACCAGGAGCAGGCTGGGGAGCTCCTGGAGGTGCAGGTCCTCGAGGCCCTGGAGGGTATGCATCCCCTGCAGCAGGTGCTGGAGGTGGGTGCTGGTCACGGGAGGGGGGTGCTGCACTCACAGGAACCGGAGCAGCATAATGTGGTCCCGGCGGTGCAGCCTGAGACGTTTGAGGAGCTTCAGCTGGAGGAGGCTGGATATTTGCAGCTGCTTGAGGGGGGGCCGGTGGTACCTGTGGGATAGAAGAAGAAGAGGCAGGGGTCTGGACAGGGACATTCCCCATCGCTCTTCCCCCCTGCTGAGCGTCTTTGGTGACCTGTAGGTAAAATCCATTACTGGACTGTGGAGACTCATGCTGAGAGGCTGGGATGTGAGCTTGTGATTGGTGCATAGAAAAATCAAGCAGTTCGTAATTTGAAGGCTGATTATGATTAGAGACAGGAGCGGCTGCGAGAGAAGCTTGTGGATTAACTTGGAGAGCAGAAAGGCCCTCTCCAACAAATGATTGGCCCCTTGAGAGAGGAGGGCGGGCAGGCTGAGACTGAGGCAGGTCTGACATCGCAGAGTCTGCATAGTCTCGGGTCAGATTGAGCGGGCCGTGATTAGAAGCTGAAGGATTGAAGCTTAAAGGTCCAGGCGTGAACAATTGATTCTGATCAGAGGTTACAGGAGGTGGTTGGGAGGTACTGGCACCCTGTCCCTGTGGGAGTGGCCTCACAGGGGGGGTGGTCTCCTTAAGGCTTGGTGCTTGAGCAGCAGCACTAGGGGGAATCACGCTGTAATTGGACACAGGCGGGGCAATCAAAACCGGCTGCTGGATCGAGTCGGCAACAAGGAGAGAAGCATAGCCCAGGTTGCCATGGAGGTCAGCCGGCTCCGCCTCACTCACCTGTGGGGGGTTCTCAAGGTTTTCTGAGTGCTGCTGTGCTTGGGTTCTCTGTGGGGGCTGCAGGTCCAGAGGGCCGTCCTCTGGAGGTTGGATCACGTCCGCACTGGGCTCTCGTAAAGGGGCGAGAACTGTCGGCGCAGCGGGGGCTAGGAGGATGTTAGCGCCCAAGCTAGCAGGATCATGCGGGGCCCACAGAGTGGTGGCCGGGCTCTCACAGGGCCGACTGGCGCCAAAAGCCCGGGATGAAGGTCGAGAGTGAGGAAGGAGCACTGGGTGAGGCAGATGAGGAACACCACCTCCAGGCCCAGCAGGCAAAGGATGTCCTTGGGCATAAATATTTTCCATATTATCTGGCGGCTGCTCCAGGTTTCCAGACGGAGCTTCTGCACGGCCTTCCGCTACCACGTTAGCCCTGTCAACTTCAGCAGGGCGCACCCCTACTCCATGAGAGCGCACAGGTTCAAAGGAGCTGTTAGCGCTGGCCTGGAAGATGCCGGTTGGTTTGGGAGGGCTGGGTGTGGGGGCCCACATCTGCTCCTGGGGGCTCTGAGGTGCACCCATAGCTCCAGCTGGGGAAGTGTCAATCTGCTCAAAGTAGCCCCCAGTGGCAGCAGGCAGGTTAGCGTCCTCAGTGAGACGTGGACTCTCCTGCTGAATAAAGGTTCCCACGACTCCCTGGTGCCGCCGGGTCCCGCTTCCACTGCCATGGCTCATATTGCTGTAGTTGGAGGACACACTGGCAGATCTAATTGGACGTGGAATCGAATCTGGAGTCTCCAGGTTTGGCCCAGTTTCATACTGGTCTACTCCTTGGGCTGCAGCAGTAGCAACAGGCGGGCTGCCAAGCATTTCACTGGGTAATACTTCCTGGTTCGGGACACACTCCAAATTCTCCATGTGGTCGTTCTGCGGATCAGGGGGCTCCTGGGTGCTGGGCTGTGGTGGGTGGCAGCCTTCATTCATGTATGGTAGGTGTGAGTGATCCTGCAGAGGAGCATCTGATTGGCTGGGGTGGCTGTGATGCTGCAGGGATCCAGGAATACCGTTCACAGCTTTATTTCTATCTCCAGCCAGTGTTTCTTCATTTTCCACATCGCTGTCTTTGAAGAACATTGAGAGGGAACCAGACTCCTGCGAGTATGGGACTGGAGCAGAACTAGCCCCAGTGTTGGGCGCATGTTGGGGTGCATGAGACTCGGGCCGGGGCTGAGGGTGGGCCAGGCCGGTCCCCATTTGGTGGTAGCCTGAGTCTTGCGGAGGCATGTTGAACCACGAGTCCTGGGGGGCGGAGCTCTGACTGAAGTAGCTCTGACTTTGGAAGTGAGAGTTATGCTGCTGCGGTGCATTTGGGTCGGGCCATTGAGAGCTGGGGGCGTTTACGGGGTTCTGGGGAGGAAACTGAGCTTGAGACTGGGGATGCGCAGGTTGTGTTGGAGGGGTGGGGGCGTTGTGATGAGGTGATGGGCTCAGGGAGGGGTACATCTGGGTCTGCGGAGGTAAATTAAAAGGCTGTGGCGGTGGGTCGCTAGTAGGCTGGAAATAGTTCTGCACTGACGGAGGGCGACTACCGTGATCAGGGGACCACTGGGAATACGAGGAGGTGGGAGGCACCGGCTGGAAGGGAACGGGCTGAGAAGGGGGCCGCCCTTGATACTCCTGGTTAAAAGGTGTCTGACTCGGTGCTGGGGCTGCAGCTGCATGTGGGGGCTCCAGGGCCATAGGTGGTGTCTGATCCGTAGAATTAAAATAGCCCTGTTCACTGTGTGAGGATGCATATCCTGCCGGGCCGGGTGCTGAGTAAACACCGGGGGCCGCTGCGCTGTGAGGGTTGAACAGAGTCACCCCTGGTAGAGAGGACGGTAGGGGACCAGGGGGCGTGGCTGACCCACCCTCCGGAGTCTGCAGTTGAGGAGGAAGCCCTGAGCTGGCTTGCGAGTACATGGCGTTTGGAGGGGCTTGCATTGGTGGAGGGTTGCTGTTGGGAATTGTTGGGAGACCACCAGCAGCCATTGGGGGAGGAGCTCTAACAAAAGCAAAAGGGTTTGTCATGGGTTGAGTAGTGGGTGCCATTGGGGCAGTAGCTGCTGCTGCCGAGTGCTTGAGAGGCCTGGTCCTGCGGAACATATTGGGCCCAGAAGGAGGAGGAGGGCCTGGAGGTCCAGTCGAAGGAGGGGGCTGCATGGCTGCAGAGATAAAGGGTCCGAGGACCAGGTCACTCTCGAAGATGTAACTGAAGAGACAGAAGTCAGGCGACACTGGGGAAAGAAAAGCAAAGAGGAAGTGGTAAACAAAAAGCTGCACATGCCTCTGATGGACTGCCACTCCTTTATTTGTGGAGTGGGCTATGGTCTTATTTAAACAGCGATGCAACGTGGCAATGTCTTCATCACCTCAAGGATGTTATGAGAAACGATACAGTACTATATTCAGTTAAACACAATTGACTTATTGACACACACACACACACACACACACACACACACACACACACACACACACACACACACACACACACACACACACACACACACACACACACACACACACACACACACACACACACACACACACACACACACACACACACACACACACACACACACACACACACACTTATCTCACTCAAGCAATTAGGAGGAAACTGGATGACATAAAGAGATTATGTCACTGAACAATCTTGATTTAAAAAAGCACCTGCTTTAGGATCACAAACAACTCAAAGGGTCATTTTGAATCTGGTGGTTTCTAAAAAATGATAACAAAAAGTAAAATGCCATCATGCCCTTATAGTAAATGTGTTTTATTGGAGATTGCAAAGGATGAGAAAATGTTGCTAATCTGATCAAATAAACGGATTCGGATTGAAGTTATTAAACAGGAACTTGCTGATTGGTTAAGCAGTATACAAAGTCATTCAAACTAGCTGCACCTTTACCAGCTTTGATAACACTTTAATGATCAATCATTATAAAACATATCATATATATTATTCTGAAATGGACCAATCTGCACAATGACTACTTTTACTTTTGGTACTTTCATTATACTTTGATGATAATACTGTTCTACTTTTACTAGTACTAGAGTGACATTTTGATTGCAGGACTTTTACTTGTAACAGAGTATCCCTACACTCTGGTACGTGTTATTTTATTTAAGAACAAGATCCGAGTACTTTATCCACCTCTGGCTGATGATAAACTATATTTCTCAGATACATACTGTGTGCATCAGTCAGTGGGAAGCTCGGGGGGCTAGCTTGGACTGACATGGACCCCTTCACTTGTTAGTTTGGAAGATAACCAGGAGAAATAGCTAGTAGGGTAGTGTTGTTGATCGGAGGAGCTCTACGGACATGATCCCGGATCTATCAAGTGCCCAGGGTTATAAATCCACCAAAATCTGTTGCAAGCTAACGTTAGCTACACCGACTGTCAACATGAAACCAAACAAAGTTAGCTATCGAGATACACACTGTCAACTCCTGATCCAAACTTGTTGATACGGTAACTAGTTGGTACGTTATGCTCCGACACGAAATTAAATTACACATTAAGCTGCTGACGAAGAAAGCTCCAGAATAGCTCAACAGCTAACGGTAAGGCTTTACTCTACATGTCCTCAAACGCCGATCCCAGCACAACATTGCTATATAAAGTCACATGTAGCCTACAAACTGTTCAAAAACGACAACATTAACATTTTGTACATGTGTAACAGTGATCGGGTCATGAACAGAGCAGTTTCAGGTCACTGGCCACTGATCCAGCGTCATTTAACAGGTTCACTGCCTGGTCAGTTAGCCTTAGCATCTGTGCTTAGTTAGCATAGCTTGCTAACTAGCCTATGCTAACTACAGGAGTAACAGTTCAAATCCTGTTATAAACTCGCGATTAAAACAATCAGAGTAGCGCATTATTAACGATGGTACATATTTACTCAAACCCAATATTAGAAATGTGTAAAAGATGTAAATAAATTCTTACAAATGTGCAGGACAGTGAGTCTGACACACCGCCACCATCTTCAATGAACACATCCTACTAGGCTACGTGTACAAGCCGCGTCAGAGGCCAAACAAGGGTGACGTCACCACGGGGCGGGGCTTGTTAAAGGTGAGTTCTGTGAATTTACCTGATCCATTTCTGTGCGTCAAATAATTTATGTTGTTATAATTAGGACTTTGGTGTGGGCTTTAGATTTTGCTATGGTTTTTTTGATAGATGTTAACATTTGTACCATTGTGAAGGTTGTCTCGCAAAGCTATATTGCTTTATTATTCACATTAACACAGACATTTGGCTTGCCTTGGTGGAATGTGTTGTTTGGGGTTCTGGAAATATAACACACAAACAAACAGTCATGGGAAGGCTACAGGGATAATATATATGTGTATTTAATTTGATCTTTATAATGGCCAAATGCCATATCCATACATGTAGATTCAAAAATAAATAAAAGCATGCATTCATTGTTATGTTCATAATAGCTTATTTCTACATAGTTTAATATTGTTGTCCTCCTTTTAACAAACTGCATTGGGATATTAAGTTTGCTAATTCATTTGAAATGTTTAAACCCTCTCTTAGGGCACAAGCATTTACTTGAATTAAACCCAATGCACTTTAAAGTTGAAGTCTTGATTTGTCTTTCGCATCTTATTGCTGTTGAGTTGTATCTGCCTTTGGGTTCTATTCTAAAATCTTGAAGAAAAGAAACACAGCATTGTACATTAGAAGGTCAAGATGTACAGTGGAGGACATCATTATTTGATCCCTTGCCGATTTTGTAAGTTTACCCAAATGAAAAGTCTATCATTTTAATGGTAGGTTTATTTTTCTAATGAGAGACAGAATATCAAAAAGAAAATCCAGAAATTGACATTATAAAAAAAGATAAAAATTGATTTGTATTTAATTGTGGGAAGTAAGTATTTGATCCCCTTGCAACCAACAAGGATTCTGGCTCCCACAGACCGGTTACATAAGTCCATTTCCTTTAGGAAAGTACTCCTAACATCAACTAGTTACCTGTATAAAAGACACCTGTCCACAGAATCAATCAATCAGATTCCAACCTCTCCACCATGGGCAAGACTAAAGAGCTGTCTGAGGACCTCAGGGACCAGACTGTAGACCTCCACAAGGCTGGGACTGGCTACAAGACCATCAGAAAGCAGCTTGGTGAGGAGGAGACAACCGTTGGTGCCATTATTCAGAAATGGAAGAAAGACAAAATGAGCATCAGTCGCCCTCGGTCTGGGGCTCCACACAAGCTCTGGCCCCGTGGGGTATTGATGATCATGAGAAAGGTGAGGGATCAGCCCAGAACTACACAGGAGGATCAAATCCTGCAGCGCCTGAAGGTCCTCTGCTCAAGAGAAACATGAAAGGCCGTCTGAAGTTTGACAACGAACCTCTGAATGATTCAGAGAAGGCTTGGGAGAAGAGGATGTGGTCAGTTTGGCATCAACTGGACACGCCGTGTTTGGAGGAAGAGACACCATCCCCCCCCCCCCGTCAGGCATGGAGGTGGAAACATTCTGCTTTGGGGGTGTTTCTCTGCTAAGGGGACAGGACCACTTCCCTGCATCGAGGAGAGGGTGTACGGGGACATGTACCGTAACATCTTGGCCGATAGCCTCCTTCCCTCAGCCAGGACACTGAACATGGGTCATGGAGGGGTCTTCCAGCAGGACAATGACCCTGAACATACGGCCAAGGCAACACAGGAGTGGCTAAAGAAGAAGCACATATAGGTGATGGAGGGGCCTAGCCAGTCTCCGGACCTTAATCCCATAGAAGATCTGTGGAGGGAGCTGAAGCTTCCAGAGGCCAAGCATCAGCCTCAAAACCTGAAGGATTTGGAGAGGGTCTTCAGAGAGGAGTGGACCAACATCCTTCCTAAGATGTGCACAAACCTGGAGACCAGCTCCAAGAAGCGTCTGACCTCTGTGTGTCCAACTAGGGTTTCTCCACCAAGAACTAACACATGTTCTGCAAGGGGATCAAATACTTATTTCCCTCAGTTAAATGTATATCCATTTTTTATCTTTTATATAATGTCAATTTCTGGATTTTCTTTTTCATATTCTTACTCTCACTGTTCAAATAAACCTACCATTAAAATGATAGACTGTTAATGTCTTTGTAAGTGGGCAAACTAACAAAATCTGCAGGGGATCAAATACTTATTTCCTCCACTGTATATATCAATTTTTAGAATACAGTTTGCTTTTTCATGAAATGTATTTTAGTCCCATAAGTCAAATATATGAACCAGTAGCATTCTAAGAATCATTGTGGACACAGCATTTGACCACCAGAGGGCGCTCTGATGTAATCTACCATTATTCATTCATACTCACTGAGGGTGAGCCATGTTACTAACATGATGGGAGCAAAAGTAGTTTTATTAAATGTTTGCTTTGAAAATATAGGGTTATTTAGAGAGTCTGAAAAAAACAAAAAAAGTGGAGACAGATAACCCACAAGTACCATTATTTGTTATGCAATTAGACAATTCATGTCATTTACAGTGTATTCAAATGCTATCCGGCCCCCCTTTTAATAACAAAAATGCAATGTATTTGCATAAAAACAAATTGTCTTAGGTTTGCTGATAAAGATTAAAGCAACAGATTCTTTGCAAAAATATCATAAATGCATGCATTTTTCTTAAATGTTTGATCAAATATTAAGGCATACAGTAGTTACATTTAGAGGTGTTTAGGGTCTGTGATTGATCCTGACATTTTATAATATTTAATTCTACATGCATGTCAAAATGAATCATTCTTGAAGTATTTCTATACAACTATACAACTATAGTGAAAAATAGTTTAATTTATGAATACATGTTAGTTATAGTTATACATTAACATGAGAATTCTAAAAGTCTCACTTTAAAAACAGTTTCACATGTAATGGAAAAGTCCCAGTGGAAAAGTTGTAGTCAAAAAGCACAAATGAGAGAAACCACACACTCTTCGCGCAGCTTTCAAACAGCAACCACACATACAGATTCATGTCATGTTCACACACCTCCTTTTCTTACACTTTTGCTCAGACTTGTTCACCGAAACCTGCCCCCCCACCACACTGAGTCTGCGGGCCCCGGGCAGGTCGGGACAGACCCTCGTCAGGATCACACCTAAACCCCTCGCCTCCGTAGAGAGTGTGTTGAGAAATCTTCAAATCTCTGCTGATTATGTAACAACTTGTCAAAACTGTGTTTGTCATAAAATGATACACATGAATAAATCCTACCGGTGTAATGCATTACAGTGACTGTTCTTGGTGGAAGAGAGAACAAGCACAAACAGATTTAGGCTCTGTTACTAATTCACCCCACTTACATTCATATGACTTGCTTGAAGTTAATATATATGCACTCTCCTTGTTGTTCTGAGTTTGAAACTTTGGTTTTTGTACTGTAAGTAGGTTTGGACAAAAGCTTCAGCCCAATGAAATGTAATGTAATGGGAGTGATCTGCTGACCCTGCAGTGTCTGTAGCAGCAGTCTGATGTCATACATGTTCCTTGTTTTAGTTTAGACTTCATTCTGAACTAGCTGTAGTTTTCTAAAATACTTTATAGTGAAATTACAGTATTTAAAACAATATGTTTAACTTATGTTTTATTTTTGAATGCTTTAATTTATTTATTGTGATATAAAATAGATTTTACATAATTATAACATAGAGTTATACACAATATACTTTTATTTGAATTGTTTATTTATGTATATTTCAATGGCTCTACTCCTTACTGTAGGCTGCCGTACAGACGACATACATAACAACACAGCTGGATTCATATGAAGTATGTAAGCATACAAAAATCATAACTTTAAGCAAATACTGCACATTATTGAACACTTAAATACCCTACATTTTAGTATGTTTTAAGCATCTTTTAAATGTTTAAATAGCAAATAAAATACAGTATGCTAAATGCCAATCCGATCTATTTTCTTCTATCTTTTATTAGACATTTTACTTTTAAGTCTTGTGTTTGTATAAACATTTTTATTTTATTTTTATTTGATCTCCTTTAATGCACATTCAAACATTCTTGCTTTAACCTCTTATATTCTTCAACACATTTTTCTTGTTTTTATTCATTTTTTATTTTGAAATGTTTCATTCAATAATGAAGCACACACACACACACACACGCACACGCACGCACGCACGCACACACACACGCACACACACGCACGCACGCACACACGCACGCACACACACACACACACACACACACTCTGCACCCCCCAGCTCCCTGCTGCTCTTTCATTGTTCATCTTCTGTTTCGTTCTGCAGCTTCTTCCCTCTGTCACTGCAACACTCGCCCCGGCCAATCAGAGGTACAGTATTTATGGCCTTTATCACTTCCTGTATGCTGTGACTCAACTCAACTTATTTATTTATACAGCACCTTCAAACAAACATGCTTACCATAGTGCTTCACATCAAAATGAAACAATAAATACAAATGTTGCTAGACTGAAAACAATATAACAGAAAAAACATTATTTAAAAAATAATACAATTATGAATAAAATAAATAATAACCACGAGGGATTAAAACATGTATATAAAATAAAAGGAACCAAACAAACAGGGATACCGTTTTTTTAAATGATACAAGCTTAGAAAAGCTGTAAAGAATTCCCTAACTCAATTTAATGACATTTATTTATGTAATTGGACCTTTCAAACAAACACACTTCCCAAAGTGCATCATATATAAATGAAGCAATAAATACATTGTTTGCAAGGCTGAATACTACAAAAGTATTAAAAGTGTTAATAATCACATATTCAAAAAATGTAATATTGAATGTATTAAATAATGAAATAATAATGCACCAGGGATTTTAAATAAAAAATAACTCAAAAGATAAATAACAACAGGAAAAAGCAACCACAATAAAACAAAAAGTGAAACAAATAATATCAGCTTAAATGTACAATTATTTATATTGTATATATTATATATTATTTAGATAGAAAGATTAGAAGGATAGGACTTCAATTAGC